GTTTGTATGTAATGTATGAATATAATATACAAGTTTCACTTTTTAAATGGAATTACTGAAATAAATCTACTTTTTCATGATATTCTAATTTTATGACCAGCACTTGTAGTGTCCACATAACAATCATCAGTGGTGAGCAGCGCTAATCCAAAAATTAGCTCCGCAATTTCTAAAGCGCTTATGAAAACATTTAGGTCCGCTACTTCAAAACCGCTTATGCGATAGAAAAATTAGCTGAAGCTAATTTTAAAGCGCAAGTTCAATTTGACACTTACTAGCTGACAATTCATGTACAATATATGTACAACACTGCCAACTAGCGGTTTATGAACTGTTTAACAACTTAATTCTACAACCGCCGATTGCTGGGGATGTGATTTCCTGAAACAGACCTTTAGCTCCTGGTGTAAAAATTAAAAAGTTGTTGAGGATTGCTAGTTCAGCTCCTTTGTCATTTTCTTTTGTTTGTTGTAGATTTTTCATTGAATAAGCATCAATAAAGTAATTTTAAAACTGGGTACATGACGTATTTGATTTGTGACGGGAAACAAAAGCACGGAGAACAGGAAAATATCTTCCCTTCAAAATAAGAGCTTTGATTTTAAAGTTTTCCATGTAGTTGCTCCAGTTGACCAATAGATGTCAGTCTTCATCAGCATAACATCTTTAAATCATTTCTGAGTCTCTAACCCCGTTGGCCGATTGCTTCGACCAATTACACCAAGTATTGAGCTCCAACGTTTAAACTTTTTTTAAAGGAGCTCTGATTGTAAAGTAAAATAAATTAATACATACAAAATTTTGGTATGGATTACAAAAGTTAACTGTTTTTGCTATTGCCTTCCTGCTACCTAAGCAGACACAAAGCATTGTGGGAAATGAGAACCCTGACCGAAAGCAACAGTCAGCTAGGATGTACAGTATACCTTCACAATAAGAGTATTTAGCTGGGAGGGGTGCTGTTGGATAGATCATGTGTGTTGTGATTCATTGACAGCCATACCTTCCGCTGCTCAAGATAATGATGACTGGTAGATAATTAATAATTAGCGGTTGTGTATTTTGATTTTAGAAAGCGCAAATCTGCTTATAAATTATAAAAATTAGTAGGACCGCTAGAGCGCAAACGAAATATTTAGGTCCGCAATTAGCGGATTTGCGCTTTAGCGGTCTGGTGCCCACCACTGACGATCATGCCTATCTCCTTTCTCGCTTATGGGGAGATCATGTAAGGGCACAAACTCTGGCCACAGCAGCCACTACACCCACAATCAGTTGTGAAGGCAAACATGCCGACAGTTACTGTATCTGCTGGTGCAGAAGTTTATAAGTATCTGTACTGAAACAATTACAAGTGTGCGGGCAGCCAACCTCACCTGCACTCCGCACCCAGAAGGCCCAACACTGGACCACACGGTGACGTGTCTCAGCCAACCAATCTAAGCCTAGGGTTGGTTATTGAAAAGGTTTATTTCGATACCGTTGCTAAATCGATACTTTCAAAACGGTACCAGTTCCTAAACGGTATTTAAATCGGTACTTTAAAAATAAATAAAACACACACACTCACACAGAGGTTTATGAAGCACTGATTATTTCTGAGGCAAAGTCAAACTTGAAAATGACCAACACATTAACTTAAAACCAGAAAACATTAAAAAGTAAAAAAAATCATGTTTTATTTTATCTAGTGCTAAATATTCAGTTCTTATTTGTATATTAATCAGATTAACGTATTTTTTACATAAAATAAAATGACTGTTTTAATATTCCAGCATTTTTGATGCAAAAACAGCAACAGGCCTAAATAAAACTGTCAGAGCAACTCAGAGAAAAAGGAGACACTCACAGACACACACACACACACACACACACACACACACACACACACACTGGCGCACACTCTCATTC